GAGGCGAGCAGCAGAAGCAGGGTTGGGGGTAGCAGGGCTGGAGGTAGCAGGGCTGTCCTGCGGAGATCGGGGAGGGCAGGCAGCGGAACCAGGGCTGGCTGGAGGGCGGGAGGGCTGGCCGGGGAAGATCAGGAGGAGGAGGAGGATGGGAGAACCAGCTTCTGGAAGCAGGGCTGGACGGGAGCAGCGGGGCTGGTCGGGGAGGGGGTCGGGGGAGTGGGGCTGACTGGGGGAGATTGGTGAGGGACGGGGGAAACCGGCCACTGGAAGCAGGGCTGGACGGGGGAGATTGGGAGGAGAAGGGGGGAGGAGCGGGACTGACCTGGGCACAAGCAGACCCTGCAGACCCTGGCAGATGAGTGTGTCTGGCCAGGGATTCCATTTTGCCCTCCCCCCCCACACACACACACATATCCTCCTTTGAGTAGTTGCGAACTGCCTGGCAGGTAGACACACTCAGGCAGCGTGAGCACATCTACCAGCCAGGCAGTTCGCAGCTAAGGACTGATACACCTAATTATAATCGAACTTACCTAATTAGAAAATACCAGGCATTTTGTATGTCTGGTAATTTCTCAATTTCTTTCCCAGACAAAACATTCAAGTACCAGACTGTCCGGTATAAAACTGGACACCTAGCAACCCTACCCTTCCTTGCACCCTCCCTCCTAACCAGATACCCTACCCCCAATCTGCTCCTGCTCCCGCCTCCTGGAGTGCTCATGTGGCGCCGGGTCCCCCAAGCCCTGGCCCAGGCTGGGTGGAGGATGTAGCCAGGAGAAACACTGAAAATTTATTCATTTTTCATTCTTTTTTTTATATGCCTTTATATTTTGGGGCTGCAAAAAACAGTACTGAAAGAAAAAAGGGTTCCAACTAAAGTAAAAAGTTTGGGAAACCCTGATCTAGCCAGCTTTCTATCCATCTTACAGTCCATTTATCCAATCCATATTCCCTTCACTTGCTGGCAAGAATGTTGTGGGTGACTGTATCAAAAGCTTTGCTAACGCTGGCACTGGGGGCTTTGGGAGGACCAGAAACAACTTATTTGAATATTCATCATTTGCTTAATGAATATGCAAATATGCAAATGTTAGCAGTTCTCCAAAAGCTTGTGAATGGATTTACTGGTCCGTGTGTCAAAAAGTTTGGGAACCCCTGGTATAGACAAATCCTTTCTGGAAGTCTCAGCAGAGAGGCCAAAGTCTGAATGTGCAAAACAAGGCTTATCTACACTGGCCTGGGTCACCTGACTTGGCTTTGTAGGACTCAAGCAGAGGGGCTATAAAAGTACAGTCTAGACATTTGGGCCTGGGACCCTATGAGTGGGGGAAGGAGAGGTGTCCTAGACTCTTGGTCCAATGAAACCAAGTATCTACACTGCAATTTTACATTCCTGCAGTTTGAGCCGCACAAACATAAGTCAGCTGACACAGATCAGCTCTGGCTGTGCCATTGGTCTTTTGTCACACTGTAGACATAACCAGAGAGACACTTATCTCCTCATTTTAAGTCTGCAGGAGCAACTTTCATGAATTGTTAAAGTACATTCTAAATCAATTGGGCCTAGATCCTCAAAAGATATTTAAGTGTCTAATTCTCATTTTTTTAGGCAATGAGAGCTATTTGCCACGTACAACAGCACATGGAACTAGGGCTACATTTGAGAATGTCAAGAGAGAAACAAAAATTATTTTATGATACTGGGCAGCATTTTTTAAATCCCACCACAATGTTGTCCTTATTCCAAATGAATGTATAACTAAATGTACATATCTGAATTAATCAATATTTTGGGTCAAATTTTGCATTCAGATATATGCACATGCAACTTGTGATAAAGTTAGTTAGTGTTTAAAATATTTAATTAATGATACAGGAATTGAAAACAAGTGAAATATACAAACCCTGGAAATTAAATAACAATGTCTGCTGAAAATCTTAGCAGAAAATCAGATTGCTCTTTAATTTTAAATAAATCTGGTTAGAATGTAGTTACGTAGACCTCTTTTATTATCCAGGTAATGCATCAACAACATATTTGTAGAAATGTCTTGCTCACCTGTTTAGAAACTTTGGCCCAGGTTTTCTTCAGTCTGTAGATTGCACTTCTGTTCAAGGCTGATGTAATTTCTAACACGCCATTGTAGTTGTGCATACATCGGCAAATATCTGCCACCGCTACCCACTTCTCAATTGAGTTAGCACGGGAACCAACATCAGCATAGTTCATAATTTGCGAGGCAACAAGGTTACTCATCTGACCAAATGAAAAGCCAAAAATCCTAAAACATTTATATATAAGCTTTTGTGAACAATATTATTTAAAAAATAGGAGAGAAAATTAAATGAGGTGGCAGAGATTGTAGCTCTTAATTAATAAGGCTGAGAAAATGTTATGTTGAAAACACTGCCAGAGAACAAGAAGAAGAACAGTGAACTAAGGGGAGGGTAACAAATGCAGCAAAACAATCAGTGAATAATGTCTCAGAGCCAGCAGCAATGTTGCTACTGGTGATGGCTCTTAGCAACATATCAAGAATATAAGCCAAGGGTAAGCATATGGGTGAAACTAAGCAATAGAACAGAACACGATAGTTAACTGGTATTGTTAGAGTTTCATCCTTTGAAGAAAGAACTTAATTTCTTCTGTAAACAGTGGAAGATTTCAGCATAGTTCTAAAGGTTCGAATCCATCAAATTACTATTGAATTGCTGACTAGCACTTCTTTACACAATTTCTTGGTTTAGAAGGTTACTCACAAAGAAGCGGTTACATTCCGTCAATACTATATCAGAGATTATATCACAATGTAGAGACAGATGTTTTTATTTCAGAGTTCATATACCATGTCAATGGGGTTCCTAAAAGATATTCTCCATTTTTGTTGTTACTTACATCATTAAAATGTTGACTGGTTTTCATAATGTATGGAGTTCTTTCATTTTTATCCAATTTCATCCAGCCTTGCCCAAGAAATTCTCTGAAAATCAGTGTTAAAAAATCAACAAAAGAAAAAATGTCATCTATAAATGCAGTACAAAAACATGAAAACTGAATCCCAAACAGATTTCAACTACATCTAGTTCTACTGGACACTTAATATAATTTTTCAATGTAATTGTAGCTTTTCACTGTGCCATTACTAGTACATTATAAGGCTGTAAACATTGCAAAGGACATTTAGCGTGCTTTCAGTTTTCTGTGTTTCCTGTACTACCAGTTCAGCATCATGATGCTATTTGAAACTGATGCTAATACAGCACCAGGAGCTGACAAGATCAGATTGCTGTATGGAGTTGACACTCACCTCCCCGGAGGCCGTTCACATCTCCACTATGCTCAGCCTTCACTAGTCCGAAGCCCGAGACTGTAGGCTTGTTTTTAATTTTCCAAGGGCTTTCAAATATCAGTGAACAGTGACAAATTAATGCAAGATTAAAGACTCAAAGAAAGATGGAATAGCAATATGTAACTCCATAGGACATTTACTGCATGGTGCTCATACAGCACACATATCACAGAGATAGCGATGCTACTGCTCTTAGTGTACTTGAACTCAGACTATCATAATATAAGTGGACTATCAGAAATCCTAAGTGACAACAAACGCAGCCTAAGGATACTAATCAATTATGTATACAAACCTTTTAATCGGTGTATTGCCTAAAACTCCTAGTCAGAAAGACTATTACAGAATATTTACTTTGATCATTTTTGGCAGAACACTTACTCATATGGTATGCTTCTGAAAACTATGTGATCTAAGAGAGTTATTTGCTCTGCAAGCTCCATGGCTGACAATGTTTCAAAGCACTCTGGTTTTGGACATTCTGACTGCAAAAATAAAAAGTACATGAACAGTCAATGATTGCTGTTTACAGAAAATTTGTTTCCAAAACACAAGATATTAACTAGCTTCATTTTAAAACAAAAACTCCTGCACAATTTCTAGCTTATCAAGAAATGCAATAGAGCAGAAAAACACACTAAGGGTACGTCTAGACTACATGTCTCTGTCGCCAGAGGCATGTAGATTAGGCTACCAGACATAGTAAAATGAAGCGGCGATTTAAATAATCACTGCTTCATTTAAATTTACATGGCTATCGCGGTGAGCCGACAAACAGCTGATCAGCTGTTTGTCAGCTCAGCGCGATAGTCTGGATGCGCGGGTGTCGACATCAAAGGTATTTGTTGACCACCCAGGTATGCCTCCTGGGATGAGGTTTACCTGGGTGGTCGACAAATACCTTTGATGTCGACACCCGCGCATCCAGACTATCGCGCTGAGCTGACAAACAGCTGATCAGCTGTTTGTCGGCTCACCGCGATAGCCATGTAAATTTAAATGAAGCGGCGATTGTTTAAATCGCCACTTCATTTTCCTATGTCTGGTAGCCTAATCTATATGCCTCTGGCGACAGAGACATGTAGTCTAGACGTACCCTAACATTGTGGAGTTTAATCTATGGAGTCTACGCTTACTCTGTTTTCCATGTGCATCAAGTTTGTATCAGTGAACATACAGGGTAAATAAAAATAGGCTGTGGGCAGATAATGGTTGTGGTTGAGAAGGGGCGGGGGTGAGGTGAGGTGACAACACGCCTGACACAGAGATTGTAGTGATAAAAACACACACCTGAGGCAGCCTGTGATGAGAAGGCATAAGGCAGGGCTGGGCAAAACATGGCCCGGGGACCGAATCAAGCCCTCCAAGCCACCAGATCCGGCCCACGGACTCAGCAGGGAACACCAGGCAACTCTCTGCTTGCCCTGCACCCCTCCCAAACCGCTCAGAAAAGCAGCTGCTGTAGCCATTTCTCTTTCTCAGCTGTGAGCTGGAGGAGGAGGGAGTTGTGCTTTACGTGCTGCTCCTTCCCCCAGCACAAACCCATTGGCCAATTTCTCGCCAATGGGAACTGTCTGTTTGTAGAAGCACCCTCACCGTCTCCCCTCAGGTTCTTAGTCATCAACGCATACAGTCCTGCAGCCTGTGGAGGGAGAGGTGGCAAGCAGGTAGGGAAGATGTTCGAGAACCCTGCTGGGCTGCTGGCCAGAAGTCACCCAGGTAAGTCTCCCATCCAGTGCCTGCTTCTGGTACCCCAGCCCCTCTCCCCCCAACCTTTGATCCCCCCCCCCGCCCCTTCCTCCACTTATGCTAAACCCTCTGCCCCCCTCCTGAACCCATAACCGCTCCCAGACCATGCACTCCAATCCCCTGCCGTAGGTCACAACAGAAACCCCTGCACTCCAGTCCAGTGCCCAAGGTCACAACTGCCTCCTTCACCCAAACTCCTTCCCAGACCCAACACGTCCTTTTGCACCCCAATTCCTTGCACTAAGCTTCCTTCTGCACCCAACCTCCATCCCAGATCCCGCACCTCCTCCATGAATATCATGGAAGAGTGCAGCCCTCGACCACTTTCCAAAATCTTGGAGTGGCCCCCCATTACAAATTATTGCCCACTTCCGGCATAAGAGCTGCATCTTGCTTCAGTTTTTCATTGCCTCATATATGTGCATGTCACCACCATTTTGGGCCAATACAGAATCTGACTCCATGAATGTAAGCAATCACCAATACACAAGCAAGTCTGGAAATGCTGATAATATCTCCTTTGCTATGTGATTTAAACACTTATTGTCTCTTCACTTTTAAACGTTCAAATTTATGTAAGATATCTCAAGTACAGATATAAAGGATCAGTAACTTGGTAGAAATATGGCAGTAAGATAGCAGTGATTTATACAGATTACATAATCCTATAAATTATTTGATGCATAAACCTTAAAATGAACTCACCATTTGAATTATATCCTCTATTTTTAAGTGTGTATCATCTTGATCATCCTGAGAAAGAGCCCTGAAAAATTAAGTGGCAGAACATCCTACATAAAGAAAATTATCTATGGTTATGGGAATATTTTAGCACAGTTCATTGACCACAATCTAAAATAAATGCAAAAGATACAATTATGGGATTATCCCATTTAAAAAAATCTTGTTCCTAACCGTTTATTTTTGGTTTTTAGAAAACAGCTGTGGAATAATGTCAGACCAGCAGTGCATGTGAAAATGCTACATTGCTTGCCCTGGAGAATTTAATCCTCTTTCTCCCAAGAACAGTTACAGCACGGATGGCAGCAGTACAATCACCACCACACTTTCCCACTAATATATCTAAAATCTTAGTTGAGGGGCCATCTGTAATTGTGGTAATATTTTTTAGTTTCCATGTCCCTTTGGTCCTTGTCTTCTACACAGAAGAAATGTCAAAGAGGAGGCCAATTGCAAAAGCTCTTTCCTGGGAATTGGATTAGGTCCACAAAAACAGTCTTATATTGAACACCATGGTGCCTGCGATTTTATGAAGGATCACTAATCTCGTTAGCTGAATTAGAAATGCATAAAAGTGAAAAACTACATCTCATTACCCAAAATTTGAGTCCTCCTGACCTCTCCTTCATTTTTAATACCACTGCCATTAAGAGTAATCATTTTTCATCACTGAAAAATCTGGGGTATAATTCAAATATTCTATTTTCTCATTATTTGTCATTTATATTATGACCACTGATTTTTTACGCCAGGGCTCTCTCTTACTATATACAGCATCTAGATCAATGGGATCTCAATCTTGGCTGTGGGCTCTACCAGTTACTGTAATACAAATAATAATAACCCGTACTGAATGTATAGTGCAAATGTAATATGTCATTAAAATTGTAAATAACTTGAAATTTAACAGGTACTTAATGTAATAAATATCAGCAGGTGGCCATATTAGAAACGTCATAGGAACAGCTTTTTCATCTTGAGATGGGGCACGAGTTAAAAGAACAGAATGATAATGTTTGTGGATTTTAGATATGATTGTAAAGGCTGGAATGTGTACTATGTGGGTGGGAAGGAAGTGATAGTGCTTAGTACACTAGGTTCTTCTGTGGTAAGCTGTTGTTTCCTTTTAGTTCGCCAGATAGGAGATGGATTAAGTTAAAACTGAATGTGGATACATGATGAAAACAAAACATGATATAACTCTCAATGATAATGTTTGTGGATTTTAGATATGATTGTAAAGGCTGGAATGTGTACTATGTGGGTGGGAAGGAAGTGATAGTGCTTAGTACACTAGGTTCTTCTGTGGTAAGCTGTTGTTTCCTTTTAGTTCGCCAGATAGGAGATGGATTAAGTTAAAACTGAATGTGGATACATGATGAAAACAAAACATGATATAACTCTCAAGAATGCTCCTTTCCTGAATCATAACCTGCACTTTGGGCCCATCAAATCCTCACAAAATGCCCCCCTTTTTTGGAGGAAGAGGAACACTGCCATGTCTAACAGCTATGCCATCCAAAATCTAAATCTTACTTTGTTCTTTAGAATAATTCTCAATACCTTCCTCCAAGAACACCATTGTGTTTCTTGTAGAGCAGCGTCTCTCAACGTGGTCCACAAATTCACTCTGAGAATGCTGCTAACAGGCCACTCTGGTTTGTTTTCTTACTGGCTCTGCAGCTATGGAGCCTTGCAGCTCTCATTGGCTCCAGTTCACCGATTGCAGCCCAGGGGAACTGCCGGAAGCAATGTGGCCACTGTTTCCCATGGATCCACTTGGCTGTAAATGGTGAACCAGAGCCAATGGGAGCCGCGAGGCTTCGTGGCTGCATAGCTGGTAAATAAATAAATTGGATCGGCCCACTAGCTGAGCCTGTGGACCACAGAAACACTCTGGTTTTGGTCATTCCTTGAGCAACGCTGTTGTAGATCAACAGGCCTCTTAATTGCTAAGCAGCTAACTTTGTGCTTGATCTTGTAGAGTGCTGAGTAGTACTGTACATCCTCAGCTCCCATCACTTCTCAGAGTATACTAACCTTGGAAGGATAAGGCCTTTATGTGCAGCGCAGACTTGACTAAAATACTCAGCTTGTTGATACAGAAGATGTGCATTTGATCACTTCTGTAGCCCTGCATTGCCTGAAATATTTTCTTTTCTATGTGAGGGCTCTTCTTTGGAGGTACATGTGCACTATATGCTTATGGTTTATTGTTATCATTTATCATCCAAGCAAGAGGGCTATGTGTGACAGGGTACACCAACTCCACACTGAGCAACCAGTGACGGGCCAATCATTGTTGGCCTACGAGGCCACATCCGCTGTTCCCTGCTGTACATGTTCCAAGTAGAGAAATCAGATAAAAGGAGGCAGTCCAGGCCAATCAGAGGAGTAGATGGATGCAGAAGGGAGTACACTGCTAACTCCTGCAGAGTTACCTGCTGTATCCCTGGTGACAAAGCCTGGGGACCTGGCCTACTTGCCAAACATCTGTGGAGATCAGCAAGGGAACCGAGTCACTGCTTGCTGAGAAAGTTGTCTAAATTATGTTCTAAATTAAGAAAAAGGTGAAGCCTGTTGACTGATTGTTCTCTTGCCTTGTCCCCAAAGGGGAATCCAGACGATAGAGTGATGGAGCGGACCACCTCCATATGGCACAAGACCCTGCCCATCACAGTGTGTTTAATGGTTTAGAAGGGGATTACTTTGAGTCTTGGATACAGAAAAAACTGGTCTACATTTCTTTGATCCAATGAAACATTTTCAGTGGAGTTCATGCCATGGCTCTAAATATTTGTCCTTGCACCACCATTTCAGCTCCTGAAGCTCTCTCATGTTTCAGAATTAAGATTTTATGCATATATTCCTCTAACTTATTTTTAAGATATTTTGATGCATTTTCTCCAACCTCTTGTTCTTAGCAAAAAAAGTCCCTTTTTTTATTTGTGCTTCAGTCCTAGCTCTTAGGCAATATGGTGTCCTTTCCTGTATTGGCTTGATTAAGACTATTTGTCCTGAGGGCACAATAGCAGCTTCAATTACATTCACACCAGCCCTTGCAAAAAAACAGTGCTGGCATTAGTGCGCTTTGCATAAAGAGGTGGAATACTGCTGAGAGGCTGTGCCTTGCTAGTCATAGCAGGGGATTTGCATATCCTCTTTCGAAAGTCTAGCGTAGTCTAGATACGCCCCAGAAGTCTTTCACCTGGGAAATTTAAATGGAAGGTAACTTTGCCCTCAGATCCAGGATACATCTAAAATGCTGAATGGTGATGATTGGCCTGTTTCTTCGAATACATTTCTACACCCTGGATAGCTTCCTGGCAGCTGAGGAGCTAATCCAGGCTCAGGTGAATAGAGATAGGAGAGAAAGATAAATTAAGGTCCAGCATCAAAAATATACCTTAACTTTTATTGAATACTAAATGGAATGCTCCATCAAGGTTTGTCTTTAGAAAACCAGGTGGCTAAACAACGATTGTTTTAAAAAATAAAAATAAAAAAAGTTTTTTATTTAAATCAGAATTTTTAAAATAATCAATAAAATACTAAATTTCTCATTTAAAAATAACAGTGACAATTACATCTCATCACAAACATGCTACCTATTCCTACACTGACAGTCTCAAAAATTAATTAGAGGCTCTCTTCAGCCTATCAACTCTTGCTTCTTGAAAGTGGGCTTTCAAATTTCTGTTTCTCAGAAGTCAAAAGCAACACAGGCAAAGAAAGACACAGGCTCGATAGGACTGTTTGTGTTCTCTACGTATATGGTGGTGGAGCTGGGCAAAGCATGGCAGAGAAGTTAATTAATACATTGTCTTCAAAACAGAAAGACAATATACAGGAAAGGATGTAGGCAGCATAGAAAGGAACAGTGGAATAGACTGTAAAGAAAAAGGTAAGACATCATTTAGCACACACAGAGCAACCTATATTCCCCTACACTTTTGCCACAGAAAAAATGTCATAGCTTCTGGGCATACAAGACACCCTATCTGGGAATATTTTGAAGAAATTAATTCCCGAGATGAAAAAGGAAAATGTGTCTAGTATAAGCAGGGCAAGAAGATGACGTAGGGCCTAATTACAAGAATGAAACATCATAAGGAAAACTACTTAATGGGAGAAAATGATGTGGATGATGATTTGGATATGTCTGAAAAACAAAACGGATCAACCAATTAAATTAACAAATTAAATAATTCACTTTACAATGCATCATTCTTTTAGATTCCGTCTATGCCTTTTAGTATAACTGTGATTTAACAAGTAAATTCCCAAGCTGTTTGCTATGTTGGATGTTGCTAGAAAAAAAAGTTTAGCTTAGCTAATCCTTATGACTTGTTTCATTAGTTAACTAGGTTTAGAATCTAGCACCCAAGTATACAGTACAGAAAGCTGCAGTAAAAGAAAATCTGGAGTTGCCAGTTGCCACTAAGTGTCATTTTCTTATTACATAATACATGTTACCTGCCCTTGGAATCAGCCAAGGAATAAGTGCAGACAAAGGGTGAACTAGAGCAACACTGAGGCTTTATTATTGGTACAGATTCTTAATTGTACAGCAATAGTCACACATACAACATTCATGCTGGCAGTTTGGAGGTAGGCTGCAAGTGCGGTGAGAGTTAGTTCCAAATTCACAGATGACTGGGGCTGGTCAGATTACAGCTCCCCAGAGATCAGCTGCGAGGCAACGAGAGTCTCCAGAGTCGCTTCAGATCTGCAGGAGGGCTCTACTGCTTCCGGTGTGGTCCCGAGCTTGGCATGCTGTTACACCTATTCTGAGGAGAATGCCCCCCACCTGGCTGTCCATAACATCAATTTATGAACTTTGAAGGATCCTTCCTCATGGCCACAAACGGTAACATATGCTGTACTGCTTTATGATTGGCAGTTTCTCATTCACACTTCCTCATGCACACCATACATTGACAGGATACAGATTCATAAGGATGAATACAATTGATTCTATTAAAGCAGGTGGTATAAGCAAGAAGAAGTACCATTATGTTCAAT